ACTCTAGGGTTGTGCGCTCATCTCACTCTATAGGCCGGGAGCCAGCGCTGTCTGCAGACACTTCCGGGTCACGTGGTCAGCATGACAAGCTGCATCTGGCAAGCCAGCGCAGCACACGGAACGCCGTTTACCTTCCCGCTGGTAAGCGGTCCCTATTTATCTACTTGCACCTGGAGGTGCTTTCGAACTGCTAGGTTGGCAGGCGCTGGGACCAAACGACGGGAGCGCACCCCGCCGCGGGGATTCGAACCGCCGACCATGCGATCGGCAAGTCCTAGGCGCTGAGGTTTTACCCGCAGCGCCACCCGCGTCCCTTCCATCAGGGGACATAATGTGCTTTAAATGTGATCACCTTACTCTGTGGCTCTTACCCTCAGGCCCACACATCAGGCAAGCAAGGAGAGGTGTTTGTGCCTGGAGAGAGGGGATGGAGGACTCCCCCTAGCTGGCCCAGCTGCAGCAAATTCCCCCAGGCTACCAACTTTCCCTCTCCACATGGTATCATCTAGCAGTTTAATGTGGCAATCCAAATCCCTAGCTGGCAGCACAGGGTTGAATGGAATGGTGTAGCTGCCACCACACCCACAGCTCATGCCAGACAAGGCAGAAAGGGGCAGGCAGAGGACAGCATGTCCCTTTGCTGGGCTGCAGCAGCAAAGAGACCCAGATTGGTCCTGCTACTGTCATGGATGGATGGCAGCAGGGCTGACTCAGGATCCAGCCCGCCCTGTGTTGGCCCATTTCCCACTGCCAGTGCAGATGGGAATACCACTACAGTAGCTTCCCTCTGCCTGCTTCTTGGATGGCTGCACTGGAGCAGGGGCATAGCTAGCTGCTCCGGCACTTGGAGTGGTGGGGGCAGGGCGATCCATCCATGGGGGCATTGTGGCGATCTGCACATGGGGGCACCGCATGGGGGTGCTGTGGCGATCCGCCCAGGGGGGCAGTGTGGCGAACTGCCTACGGAGTCCGCCTGGTGGACGCAAGCCCCATGCTGCTGTTTCAGGCAGGAGAGACCCATGGCTCAGGCACACTGCAGGCCAGGCCCCACGGTAAGTGCCGACCCCCGCAGTGTGCCATTTTGTCACCCCCCTCAAGGACGACACCCGGGGTGGACCTTCCCACGCCCCTGCACTGGGGTGCTCCTTGATGGTGAGGCTCACACATCAGGCAAGAGAGGCTTTTCTGAACTATTGAGCTAGGGTCTCTGCTTGGTGTCACCTCAGGGAACTTCCAAGTTTTTAAAGAAGAATAAATAAATGTTTGTTCTCTTTCTCCCCCATGAGTTGGCCCCAAAGTGATCCGTGTCTCTGTCTGCTACAGAATCATAGCTCATGGGGATGCTGCCTGAGTGAGCTTTATGGTAGCTATAAATATAACCCCCCTTAATTTGTGCTTCTCATTGCTGCATATTAGAACACAACTTTGCTATTTATGGTGTAGTTACTTGGTTTTTTATCTAGGTCTTTGTTGCTTTCTGCTGCTCCCAACTCCCTCTATGATGAAGCCATCTTTGGACAGCTGAGCACAGCTGGGCAGGTAACCTCCATGGAACATGGTCAAGGGTTTAAATATCCAGCTTTTGAGTTACTATACTTGGAATTCCTGCTGTATCTTTGTGTGTGAGAAAGGGGATCTTTGGAAACAGGCTGAAGGATGGCAGCAGCGCCATTCTTTTCCCCTTGGCCAGCAGGAGATCCTTCTCAATTTACAATGAAATAAACTTCCACAACTCCCATGAAGCTACCTCTTGCTTTGAGCTGGCATGCAGCAGGAAAATTATGATTCAGGCAGCCAGGAAGGGTTGGAGAGAGGATGGAGGGATTTCTTTCATTTTTCTCCCTCCCTACTCTGTCGTCTACTGATCAACCTGTCTGCAGGCTTATCCACCCTCACCTTTCTCCTGCTCTTTCCGGGCACAGTCTGTGCTTTAAAGCTCTGCATCTGAGCCCCTTTGTTTTGCTCCAGAAAGCCTAAATTAAGGTTTGCTCTGATTGAGCACTAAAGAGTGAGTTTTCAATGGGAAAACTCTGGAGCAAAAAAAGCAGGGTGCTGGGACACAAGAGTTTTAAAGTGCAGGTCTGTGCCTGGGAAGAGCAGGCCAACAGCTAAGTGTGGCTAAGCCCTACCTTTAGGGTCCAGGGAGAAGGGGGTGGATACACAGATAAATAAGCACCATTGATATACTTGGGGCTTTAAGGAATAATAGGTAAAAGAGCAAGGAAAAACAACAACCTGCCTGTTTCAAGGAAGAGAGGAGGCAGGGAAGTTAACATAGATGCAAATGTGGAAGAGGAAGAATATAGGTGATGGTTACATGTATCTGGGTTCAGGGTAGATCTGGGTAATATGGCACCCTGAGCAAAGAACACATTTGGAGTGCCCCCCCCCCAATATTTCTTATTTTCACAATCATTCCTTTTGGTGCAGTTCTTCTTCTGGTTGCTGCTGCTGCTGCTGTTTGTGCCTCCTCAGCTTGGCACCTGCACCACCCTAAACCCGGCACTGCTGAGTTTAGTTCCTGTAGAGCAGGTGTGGCAAATCTTTCCAGGGGTTGTATGCCAGTGGTGGGTTGCCCACCCCACACCCTCACACACACACCCTTCCATGCACCAGCATGCAGGTCACACACAGGCACACACAGAGCCCAGCTCCTCCAGGTGAGCTGGACAGAGCCATAAGGAGGAGGCATGATCATTCCCTGTCCAGTCCTCAAATGAACTTTTTTTCCTTTGCTGCTGCCAGCAGACTTGATGGGGGGAGCAGAAATATTTGCTTGGGTGGCCAGATTAGGCTCCCAAACTGAGGGCTAGCCACCACTGCTCTGCTTTAATGGTGTTCCCCAAACTTGGGTCTCCAGCTGTTTTTGGACTGCAACTTCCATCATTCCTAGCTAGCAGGACCAGTGGTCAGAGAAGATGGGAATTGTAGTTCAAAAACAGCTGGAGGCCCAAGTTTTGGAAACACTGCTCTTGAGGGTTACATCAACACCTTCCCTGAAACAGGAGAGATTTAAGAAGATCGGAAGGGAGAAAGAGAGGAAAGGTGTCAGAGTAACTGGCTGGTGGGTCCTGATCTATGTTAACATCTCCAAATGTCACCTCTCCCTCCACTGAATAGTATTGAGCCTGAGCATGTCACACTCCAAGTGGCCCTGTCACCAAACTTAGGAAATAAAAAGACCAGGTGAAGTGGAGGGAAAAGACAGAGGAGGGGATCTGTTCTTTAAGGCCAGAATGAAGCATGAAGCTATAAACAAGCTTGTATGTCCAGGGTGGCGCTGTGGGTTAAACCACAGAGCCTAGGACTTGCCGATCAGAAGGTTGGCAGTTCGAATCCCTGCGACGGGGTGAGCTCCCGTTGCTCGGTCCCTGCTCCTGCCAACCTAGCAGTTCAAAAGCACATCAAGTGCAAGTAGATAAATAGGTACCGCTCTGGCGGGAAGGTAAACGGTGTTTCCGTGCACTGCTCTGGTTCACCAGAAGCGGCTTAGTCATGCTGGCCACATGACCCGGAAGCTGTACACTGGCTCCCTTGGCCAATAAAGCAAGATGAGCGCTGCAACCCCAGAGTCATCCACGACTGGACCTAACGGTCAGGGGTCCCTTTACCTTTACCTATGTCCAGCTGAGGCCAGGCTGAACTTCCCTTACTGGCATAGGAGCCAACTCCCAGAGACCAAGGTCCTTCCCCCTCCATAAAATATTTGAGGGGTCCAAGCCCATCTGCCCGCCATTAATGGGCATTGTCATTCAAATGGTGTGTGGTTGATTAAGCTGGTTGGTGCTTAAGTCCCACCTCCCATATTTTATTCAAGTTGGCACCCCTGCTTACTGAGGTTGTTGCTTGAATAGTAATTGATGGTTTTCACTTCTTTGGCCAATGGATATGGGACAGAGTGTCCTCCCCCCCCTTGTAATTATGGTCCTAGGGAAAGTGACAATTGAAGTACCGTATTTTTCGCCCTATAGGACACACTTTTCCCCCTCCAAAAATGAAGGGGAAATGTGTGTGCGTCCTGTGGGGTGAATGCAGGCTTTCGCTGAAGCCTGGAGAGCGAGAGGGGTCGGTGCGCACCGACCCCTCTCGCTCTCCAGGCTTCACACACCGCTCCACAAGCAGCGGGAGCCCAGCGGTGGGCTCCCGCTGCTTGCGGAGAGTTGCCTTGCATGCCAAAGCCTTCGCGCGCTCAGCTCAGTGCGTCCAGGCTTCGTGGACCTCTCCGCAAGCAGCGGGAGCGCTCCCATGGCTTGCAGAGAGCTGCCTGTTTGGGGGCTGGGGTCGGGGGAAGCTCGAGCTTCCCCCACCCCAGCCCCGCGCCTGGGGGAAAAATAATTCCCCCCCTTTTTCCCCCCCCAAAAAACTAGGTGCACCTTATGGGACGGTGCATCCTATAGGGCGAAAAATACGGTATGTTGCAACATACTTTTAAAAAGCAAGGTTCTACCCCCATATAATGCAGATATAGGAGGCAAAATTTACATGCCACTATCCGTAATAGTTTTATGAAATAATGAGCCTGCTCCTGCTTCCCGTTGCTCATAACCAATGCGATGGACTCACAGCTGTGATTTACATTTAGGGAAGCAGGGATATTCACAGACAGGGTTGGCACCAGCAGTTGGCATTCTCGGGTACCTGTCAAGGCCCACATCACAGCAGATGGCCTGCTGTCGATCTTCTGACCCCACTGCTTTCCCCCCATGATGCAACTGCCTGCTGACGTGTCCTCTCTGACCCTGCAGGCTGTGAGCAGAGTGATGAGATGGAGTAGCCTCCTTTGCTTCCCTTGTGCTTTACGCTCTGGATAGTTGCACGGATTGAGCTGTGCAGGGAGAGGGCAGATTTGTTTTTCATGCTTTCAAAAGTATGCATGCCATAGGAAACCCTTTTGGTAGAGAATGTGTCTAATAAGGCTTTAAATACATCATATGCGCTGGGTGAACTGCTGCAGAGCTTCATGAATTTTAATCTAGTTCCCTTTCAGGCTCCTCAGAGACATGGCCAGTGCAAACCATTCCACTCACTCTGACTTCATTCTCATCGGTCTGTCCTCCCATCCAGGACAGCAGAAGTTCCTCTTTGCCATCTTCCTGGTGATGTATATTGTGAGCATCCTAGGGAACCTCCTGATCATCCTGTTGATCCTTTGTGATGCTCATCTGCACACCCCCATGTACTTCTTTGTGGGGCACCTTTCCCTGGTGGATGCCTGTTTCACCTCTGTCACCGTGCCCAAGATGTTAGTCAACCTGGTGTCAGAAGCCAAGAGCATCTCTTATGCTGCCTGCCTGACTCAAATGTATTTCTTCTTTGCCTTTGGGGTCACCGACAGCTTTCTTCTGGCCTCCATGGCTTATGATCGCTATGTGGCCATCCGTAACCCCCTGCAGTACACCAGCATGATGAGTCAAAGCCTGTGTGTGGGGTTTGTGGCCGGCTCCTGGATTGTCTCCCACCTCCATTCTTTGTTGCACATAATCCTGATGTCCCGCCTCTCGTTCTGCGCTTCCCATGAGATTCCCCACTTCTTCTGTGATCACCAGCCTGTGCTGGCTCTGTCCTGCACTGATACCAGCTTAATTGAGATGTTGATCTTCACTGAGGGGGCCTTAGTGGTGCTGAGCCCCTTTGTCTTCATTGTGATCTCCTATGCCCTTATCCTGGTCACAGTCCTGAGGCTGCCTGCGGGTTCTGGGTGGCGCAAGGCATTCTCTACCTGTGGGGCTCACCTGCTGGTGGTCACCCTCTTTTACGGCACAGTAATTGGGGTCTATTTCCAGCCCACTGCTCGCTACTCAGCAGAAAAGGGAAGGGTTGCCACCATCATGTATACCATTGTCATACCTATGCTCAACCCTTTTATATACAGCCTGAGGAATGACGATGTCAAAGGAGCATTTCGCAAAACTCTATGCAGGAAGGTGGGAACACACTGAGTGCCTTTCTTCCAAGACACCTTGCTGAACAACACCAATGTTTGAACCACACCATCCATTGTAACTGAGTTTTCTGGGATTCATGGAACAGTCTCCACGGTTTACAACCACATTTACATGATGTTAAAAGGTGAATTTCCCTCCGGATTCCAATAGCCATTTTACACAGGAAAATGCTTGTCAGTGTGCCAAAGGTAGCCATGTTGTCATGGAGCCTACCACAGGGTCACTTTCCAATCATTCCTTTTTGACTGTGGTTTGAGTGACCAGGAAAAAAGTTGGATATGGGAGTATGGTTGGGTGGTTCAGAGCAAGGGCACCATCTGGGGGCCAGGGGGCCGAACACCCTCAAAAATTCAAGGGGGCCCAGGCACCCCTCAATATTTCACACACTACGCCTATCCCCCAAAGTGGGGGGAACCCGGCACAAGTGGTTGAGAGCAAGCTAAAGACCTGGGGGAGGAGGAGCTGGCTGGAATGGTTGGGTGGTTCAGAGCAAGGGCACCATCTGGGGGCCAGGGGGCCGAACACCCTCAAAAATTCAAAGGGGCCCAGGCACCCCTCAATATTTCACACACGCCGCCTAGCCCCCAAAGTGGGGGGAACCCGGCACAAGTGGTTGAGAGCAAGCTAAAGACCTGGGGGAGGAGGAGCTGGCTGGAGCATAAAAAGCAGGGAGCTGGGAGGGAAATATATGGTATTTTGTTAAAGAATAAAATATTGTATAATAAAAAGGAGAATTCCCTGGATGTCAAGATCCAGGTTTGGGGCAAGTACTCTTTGGTGAGAGAGCCACAGCAGAGATCTAAAATCACAAAACATGCAGTGAAGCAAAGTGTGGAAATATATAGTCTTCTAGACCTTTATTGGAAGCTGCCCCTCCCTGCACTGAATATTGTTACCTGCCTGTCTGAGGTGGGAAATATATGTAGGAGCCACAATAAAATGAAAATGTTACCTCAACATTGCCTAGGTTTTCCTATTTTCTCTTGCCCTGGGTTAGACGGGCACATCAAATACATACAAAAACAAGGGGGTGAAGGAGCAGATCTAGTCAATCTTCAAAAAGCAGTAATTTCACATTTGGAGCTACAGGTGGTCCTTAATGAAGGGGTTGTTTATGTGTGAGCTCCCATATTTTAAATAAGCATAAGAGACACACACAAAAAGGTGATCCATAATGAGATTTGGGGTCCTTCATACTGGTGGCTTTTAGTGGGCATATTCTGCAGAAGGCCATTGACACAATAGGATATGCAGGTCCCACTTACCAAACACAATGCATTCTCTGGAAATCATTTGTTGGGCAAACTCCAGCTGTTTTGTTTTGTTTTTGAACATATTTATTGGTTTTTCAATTGATTTACAGCCATCCTTTTCATACACGACAACATTTACAATAAATATTTGAGATCTCTCAACATTACACTATTGCATATGTACAGGTATGCATAAACAAAAAAATGTTTCAGCAGGCAGTTAAGGACCTGCAGGGACACGCGTGGCGCTGTGGGTAAAACCTCAGTGCCTAGGGCTTGCCGATCGCATGGTCGGTGGTTCGAATCCCTGCGGCGGGGTGAGCTCCCGTCTCTCGGTCCCAGCTCCTGCCCACCTAGCAGTTCGAAAGCACCCTTAAGTGCAAGTAGATAAATAGGTACCACTTTATAGCGGGAAGGTAAACGCCGTTTCCGTGTGCTGCGCTGGTGCTGGCTCGCCAGAGCAGCTTCGTCATGCTGGCCACGTGACCCGGAAGTGTCTCCGGACAGCGCTGGCCCCCAGCCTCTTAAGTGAGATGGGCGCACAACCCTAGAGTCGGACACGACTGGCCTGTATGGCCTTTACCTTAAGGACCTGCACCAACTGAAAACACAGCAGCTTGTCTGTCCCTGAACATCTGCAAGTGCAACCAGTTACCATCATGATCACAAATCATCATGAATGCTCAATTCAAAAAACATATGGAAGGGCCCTATAAAAGGGGGAAACAATTTATGTTGATATTTATTATCCTATACATTTATTTATCTCCAAGGCACCTGATGTTGCCTCAGGCACCATACAAACACCTCTGGGATCATAACCAGGTCACAAAAGGAACAAGTAATGTGAAAAGAAAGCTTAAAGAAAAAACGCTAGATATATTACGAACAATACAGATGTAGATACATTTGCCAGACGAAAAAGGAGTTGTCAAGAGGGGAAAGGGAAAGCAAAGAGTTTCAAGCAGATTTAGAGACTACCATAGTAGACAGTAGCAAATTGACTATTATGTAGCTTTTTATATTATAATTATGAGATCATGCATTTGGATATCTGGCCCCAGAACCAAGCTGGATTCAACAGTGGAAGACTCTCAGTGTTTGTTCTCAGGGAAATTCCTCAGAGAAAAAGGATTCTTTCCCTGGAAAATGGTATAGAGAGAGATCTATATATAGATCTCTAATGGTATAGAGAGAGATGATCCTGTTCCAATTTGGAGGCCCCCCCCATCCCACATCTGCTATCCATTTTTTAAAAAACAACAACAACTGTGAGAGATCTTATTCACTGAACTCCTACCATCTAGTTGTACAATTTGTCACCATTAGGCATGAGAGAGAAATTCAGGAACTTCAAATCCAAAATTTCTGAAACAGTATGAGAACCAATACATGGCCATCTTTTGAAATTTCTACTTATCTGACTTTTGCAATGTAATTCTCCAACAAAACAGCATTTACAAAAATGCATATATTAGTGGAAAGTATTAAAAAAAGATATTTATGGAAATAACATTAAAGTATTATATTAGGAGAAGTGGCTTGCAAAAATGTATGACTTGTTCAAAACTGCATGTGAAAATGTGCTTTCTTTAAAAAAGAACACACAAAAATGCTGACAAATCTTCATTAAGACTCTTTTTAAAATGTTACACATTGTTGCAGAACATTGTGGAGAACTGAATTCAAGACTGGAAAAATGAGAAATGGAGAGAACCCCAACTGACAGATCCTTCCACCCATGAGTCTTCACCATGAATCTTAGGGCCCCTTTTCCAAAAGGGGAAGGAAGAAATAATGGCCAAGTGGAAGAGAAATCATTGGCTTCACTTAGGGCTGGAGACCCTGTGGCCCTCCAGATGCTGCTGGACTTCAGTTCGCTCCATCCCAACCACACCTGAAGGGCCACAATATGGAATCTGACTAGAGTGGGTTATTGGGGAAACAGTAAAGAAAGACAGATAGAGGTGAAATTATTTTCAAAGAGAGAAAAAGCATCATATTACCAGTTGGTACTTCAATCACCTATGTCAGAGGTTTTCAATCTTTTTGAGTCCATGGCTCCCTTGACCAACTACACTCCTTCTATGGCACCCCTGTGGGGCTCAGGAGCCCAGTTATGTCACCCCTTGCCTACAGAGCCAGCAGCCCCTCAACACTTTTTGAACACCCTCCCATGTGGAGTGTTCCCTCAGCCGCCTCTCCTTGAGAGTCCTCCGGGCAGCTGCAGCTGCTGCCTCTGGTCTCCGAGCTGCCCTTCCTGCCCCAAAGAGAGATGTCTCCTCACACTGCCCCATAGGGGCTTGGGACTTGTCTGTCTATTCCCAAGAGCAAGAGCTGGCAGACTGGCTGGCTGGCTGGCTGGCCTCCCTCGCCTGCCTGCCTGCCTGCCTGCCTGCTTGCTTGCTTACTTTGAGGCCAGCCCGAGAGGCACCATTTGCTTGTAGCCAGGGCTGCTGCAACAAACAGCTGTGCAAGCTTTTGGGAGGCAGAGACAAGAGAGGGCATCAGAGGAGGGAGGGAAGGAAAGAGGGACAGAAGCCAGTGTTGCCCACGGCACCCCTGACCATCATTCAAGGCACCCCAGGGTGCCATAGCACACTGGTTGAAAACCACTGATCTAGTGGAAGTTCATTGCATGGCTTGTTGAAAACCAATGACCTATGTGATTGAAAGGGGTGGTGTTGATGTGCCCAGATACACAGATGCCTTCCTTTTCATGGTGAGTTGAATACAGATGACCCCTGTGGCAAATTACCACAGTACCCAAATCACAACCCCATGGAGAGCCAGTGCACCAAGTAATGAGGAGTAATTTTACCATCACCATCCTTTTCATTTGGGAAGCAAAGAGCTGCTCTTTCATCTAAGGCAACAGTTTGGGGTGAAACTGAAGGTTTCCAGCTTGCGCAAAATGCCAGAGGAATCCTGAGGTTAGTAAATTCCCCTTCCTCTGAAGTAAATACAGTACTCCATTGGACTATTTCAAGGTTATCTAACCCAAGGATCCTTATTTAAGCTATCTACTTTGGAATCAGATGCAGTATCTTATGGTTAAGGAAGGCAACGTTTTCCATTCCACCCTCTCAGCATTTCTCTCGCTGTCTGCTGTGCTGAAATTACAAAACATATAATTTTGCCACAATGGACAGCAAGCCAAATTATGAAGCTTACATAATTTGCACAATTCATTATGTAAAATGTGTGTGTATTGTTGTCATCACATTATACCGTTCCATTCATTTAAATGCGAATGAAATGTAATGCAAATGGGGGGGGGGGGCAACATCACCAGTTATCTATTATCTGAGGACTGAAAGCAACAAAAATAGCAAATACCTACTGAATTTGCTGCACTGATTTCCATTCCAGACAGGAGAAGAATAGGGCAACACCAGGAATTTCCGCTCCTGTTTCTGTTTCTGTTTGAGTTTTCCAACACAGGGACGCGGACTTATAAAAAATATTGGGGGGGCCCGGGAAAGCTCATGAATAATAAATAAGCTCATGAATATGCAAATAAAGTGGCTCCGGCCCTAAATAGGGCAAGCCACGCCCCCCCAGCCAGCCGATTGGCTGGCTGGGAGGTGTGGCCAGTCGGGATTCCCCTGTTCTCGCGGGGGCTGAAACCGCCAGGAGGAAGGAAATTCCCCCCGGCAGTGCCTTGGCAGTGGCGGTGGTGCTGCGAAGCAGCGAGGCAGGAGCCCCCGCCCCCGGCGCCCGAGATTATTGGGGGGGCTG